TTTTTGGTTGCAGCCATCATTGTTGTTTGGCAGGCCTAGGCTGGATTCGAACCTGCCACCTTAGGTGTATGTGGCTGGCGCCTTAGCCACTTGAGCTACAGGCACCGAGCTAGTTTTCTTTTATATTTATACTTTCTTTGATCAAAGACTTTATACTTCATCACCTTTTTTTTTTACATTTTTGGCCGGGGCCAGGATTGAACCTGCCACCCCCGGTATATGGGGCTGGCGCCCTACTCCTTGAGCCATAGGTGTCATCCAGACTTCATCCATCTTTGATCAAAAACTTTATCCTCACCTTTTTCTCGGAGACATCTCTTTGGTAGCTTTCCCTTGACCTGTGCCATTAGATCTGGTTTCTTTATAGCCCTTTTGCACTGTTGTCATCTTTTTTTTTTCTCCAGCCTTGAGCTCTTGGGCTCTGCTGATTCTCCCATCCTAGCCTTCCAAGTAGATAAGACTACAGGGATATGTTATTATGCTGACTCATTTTTCCATCTTTTTGTATTACAGGTGAGGTCTTACTGTGTTGTTGAGGATAGTCTTGAACTCTTTCTGGCCTCAAGAGATCCTCCCAGAAGTGCTGGGATTGCAGGTGTTAGCCACCAGTACTCAGACCCACAGCTATTATCTTGATTTTCTTTCATCATTTGAGGGGAATTCCTTCTCTCTTGTATTGGATCTCTTCGTTACTTCTCAGTCTGTGGCAACTATTGATCTGTTTTCCATTCCTATAGTTTTATTACTTGCAGAGTGCCATATGCACCTTTTTAATTTTCTTCTTCTTTGAGACAAAGTCTCTGTTGCCCTAGCTAGAGTACAGTGGCATCATCACACCTCACTGCAACCTCAAACTCCTGGGCTCAAACGATCTTGTCAAGTAGCTGGGACCACAGGTGCATGTCACTGTGCTTATAATCATGTTTTGATACCATGTTACATTTGGTTTTATGCTTGTATTAAATAAATTTGTTTTTATTTATTTATTTTTTATTCAGACAGAGTCTTACTTTGTCACCCTTGGTAGACTACTGTGTATTGCTCACAGCAACCTCAAATTCTTGGGCTCAAGTGTGATTCTCTTGCCTCAATCTCCCTAGTAGCTGGGACTACAGTTGCCTGCCACAATGCCCAGCTATTTTTTTTTGGTTTAGCAGGCCGGGGCCAGGTTTGAACCCATCAGCCCTGGAGCATGTGGCTGGCACCCTAACCACTGAGCTATGGGCGTGCAACCTGTGTTAAATACATTTAAAGAAAATTACATACACAATGGTTTTGTTTCATTGGAATATTTATTGTTTTCTGGTGGTTTTTGCCCTTAGGTATAGCTTGTTTATTGATACCACATTTCGAATTGGGTTATTGCCAGGATAATCTTGGCAGGATGTATTGTTGCTTTTAGTTTCAAATACTTAGTGTAGGTTGGAGGAGGCAGTTAGAACTACATGTAGTAGTGACTAGATATAGTAATAAAATGGTTGTTTGTTAAGATTGGTGGTGCTTAAGATTTTTGTTTAGAATTGTTACGATCATAAACCATAGACTTTCAGATGTGGTTGCTCATGGTTGAGGAGGATCGCTTGAGCCCTGGAGTTTGAGACCCAGTCTGAGCAGCATAGTGGGATCCTGTCTCCACAAAAAAATTTAAAAAAATTAACCAGATACGGTGGCACAGATACTTCATCCCAGCTACTCAGGTGACTTTGAATTGGGAGGATCCCTTGAGCCCACAAGTTCAAAGCTGCATAAGCTATGATCACACCACTGCACTCCAGCCTGAGCAACACATCCACATCTAGTTTCTAAAAATTAAAAGCTACCAGCAAATTGAAAATATTAAAAAGCTGCTTCTTGAGAATTTGTATTCAAGACTGTTTTTATGTTTTTATCTTATGTGTCCTCCTTTCCCCTGAATTATATGTTTTCCTTATACTCTGATTTGGAAGTTTTGCTTACCATCCCTGCTTTCTTGCAGATTTTCTATTTTGTACATACATTATTTTGTATATACTGTATATGATGACTTCAGTGAGCAGTGACCGTTGCCGAGGTGCTCGGGAAAAACATTTTTCAGTGACACAGCCAATACAACCACAGAAACAAGTGGTACAGGTAAGTTTTTGTAACTTGACTGTGGTGTTTAGAATTAAATTAATAAAGAGGAAACACCTGATTTTAAGGTTGTTCAAAAAGTAGATAGTTGGGCTGGGCTTCCGTAGCTCAGTAATTAGGGCGCCAGCCACATGCTCCAGGGCTGGTGGGTTTGAACCTGGCCTGGGCCTGCTAAATAAAAATAGCTAGGTGTTGTGGCAGGTGCCTGTAGTCCCAGCTACTAGAGAGGCTGAGGCAAGAGAATCACTTGAGCCCAAGAATTTGAGGTTGCTGTGAGCTATGATGCCACTGCACTCTACTGAGGGTTACAAAGTGAGACTCTGTCTCAATAAATAAATAAATAAAGTAGGTAGTTGTAGAAATAGAGAAGTGTTATCATTTATTCAGGTACATTTGCATGTAGTTCCATGAGAACTGTTTAATTATTTTTCTTTTCTTTTCTTTTTTCTTTTTTTTTTTTTTTTTTTTTTGCAGTTTTTGGCTGGGGCTGGGTTTGAACTCTCCATCTCCGGCGTATGAGGCCGGCGCCCTACACCTTTGAGCCACAGGCACTGCCCATTCATTTTCTTTTTTAGCCACAGAGTCTTACTTTGTTCCCCTTGGTAGAGGGCTGTGGCGTCACAGCTTATAACAACCTCCAAACTCCTGGACTTCGGCAATTCTCTTGCCTCAGCCTCCTGAGTAGCTGGGACTACAGGCACCTGCCACAATGCCTAGCTATTTTTTGTTGTAGTTTGGCTGGGTTGGGGTTTGAACTCACCACCCTCAGTATATGGGGCCAGCACCCTACCCACTGAGCCATAGTATAAAGCCCATGAGCCGCCCATGTATAAAGTTTTTAATATTAACAATCCCCTCCTCAAATTGTTTATATTATTATTTTAAATGAAGTGAGATAATTCATTGTAGAATGCTAAGTACAGTACCTGGTGCAACACTAAGCGTTCTGTATATTGAGCGTGTGTATGTGTGTGTATACACATACATGCTTATTTTTATTTTTTCCTTATGACCCAAAGATCTGGCAGTTTTTTTTTTTTTTTAATTTTTTTTTAGAGACAGAGTCTCACTTTCTTGCCCTTAGTAGAGTGTTGTGGTATCACAGCTCACAGCAACCTTTAGCTCCTGGGCTTAGGCGATTCTTCTGCCTCAGCCTCCCGAGCAGCTGGGACTACAGGTGTCCACCATAACACCCGGCTATTTTTTTGTTGCAGTTTGGCTGGGGCCGGGTTTGAACCTGCCACCTTTGGTATATGGGGCCAGTGCCCTACTCACTGAGCCACAGGCGCTGCCCAAAGATCTGGCAGTTTTTACATATTTTTTTAATTTAAGTTTTTCTTACTATGACCCAACCATTCTGTATGTATGTCTTATTGACTAGGTGAGCAAACCATTTTTTGGGAGGCAATATGCAAGTAGGTAAATAAAAAATCCAATCCATTATAATTTCAGATATTCTGTTTTGGTAGATAATTACAAGCATTTTTTGTAATCATTCATACCCAAGTGCTCTGTTGACGTTAGGGGACACATTATACACTCTTTAGTTGTTGCATTAAAATTTTCAGTATAAAATTATCCTTATATTTTGCTCATGTCTGTAGTTTCATGTTTGCTCCCAAATATGCTGTTCCTGATAGACATTTATTCAGAACCTGATCAAGAAAGACTGTTCAGGTTGGGTGCCTGTAGCTCAAAGGTTAGAGCTCTAGCCCTATGCACCAGGGGTGGCAGGTTCTGACCTCGCCTGAGCCTACAAAAAAAAAAAAAAGACTGTTTAGTGTTAGAAATACTTGGGCTCTGGCGATGGCGCCTGTGACTCAAAAGGAGTAGGGCACCAGCCCCATATGCCAGAGGTGGCGGGTTTAAACCCAGCCCTGGCCAAAAACTGCAAAAAAATAAAAAAGAAAAGAAAAGAAATACTTGGGCTTTTGGGGCCAGGCCCTCATTTTTGTCTGAGGGCTTAAGAAAAAGTTTGTTGGCTTGGCGCTTGTGGCTCAAGTGGCTAAGGCGCCAGCCACATATACCTAAGGTGGCGGGTTCAAATCCAGCCCGGGCCCACCAAAACAACAATGATGGCTGCAACCAAAAAAAAATAGCCAGGCGTTGTGGCAGGTGCTTGTGGTCCCAGCTACTTGGGAGGCGGAGGCAGGAGACTCGCTTGAGCCCAGGAGTTGGAGGTTGCTGTGAGCTATGCCACGGCACTCTACCCAGGGGGACAGCTTGAGGCTCTGTCTCAAAAAAAAAAAAAAAAAAAGAAAAAGTTTGTTTCATGAATGAGTTATGAGAAATCATAGGTGCAACCCTGCTTAATAATTAAAAGAAATATAAATGAAAATAAAATCATTTTAATTTACTGGGTATAAAATCAGTAGAAATAAAAATGAGCTTTTGAAGGAGGGTCAGATGGAAGGTTAGAAATGTAAACTGTTTCCCCCTACCCACAGCCATAGCAAAGTTTTCTGGCTGATTTCCAGAGAATCAAGTTCTCCAGATAGGGTGAGGACTTCCTTTTTCCCTAAGGGTTGTCACTTATAGTTTCCCTCTGGGTACTTGGGGGAATGGCTCAGTTTAGAAGAAAAAAAAAAATCCATTGAGCTATGGGAAGGACTCTTAGATCCTCAAATTTCTAAGTTTTCTTTTTATAAAAGTATTATGAAAAATATCAATAAAATAGTATTATGCTTTAGAAAACTTGATCATGCTTATTCATTAATCCAATTCAATTCAATTCAATTAATTGCTCTGTTGCTGGGACTAGAGTGTAGTGATGTCATCATCACTCGCTATACCCGAATACTCATGAGAGCAAGTGATCCTCTGCCTCAGCCTCCTGAGTAGCAGGGACTACAGGTGTGTGCCACCACACCTGGCTAATTTTTAAATTTTTCTGTAGAGATAGGAGTTTCACCATATTGCTCAGTTTGGTCTTGAACTGACCTCAAGTGATCCTTCTGTCTTGGCATCTCAACACGCTAGGATGAAAAGCATAAGCCACTATGCCAGGCATTATTAATAGGATTCTAAATGTCTAATGGTTTAATGGTAGATGGGTTCTGAGAAATCCTACATTTGGATCTTTATTTATTTTTTGAAACAGAGCCTCAAGCTGTCCCCCTGTGTAGAGTGCTATGACATCACAGCTCACAGCAACCTCCAACTCCTGGGCTCAAGCGAGTCTCCTGCCTCTTCCTCCCAAGTAGCTGGGACTACAGGCGCCCGCCACAATGCCTGGCTATTTTTTGGTTGCAGCCGTCATTGTTGTTTGGTGGGCCCGGGCTGGATTCGAACCCGCCAGCTCAGGTGTATGTGGCTGGTGCCTTAGCCACTTGAGCCACAGGCACTGAGCCACTTTTGGATCTTTATAAACCTGGGTTTGGGTTTTAGGTTCCCTCCTAACTAGATGAATTACTTAAGTCTCTTTGAACCTCAGTTATTTATTTATTTTTATTTATTTACTTTTTTGAGACAGTGTCTCACTCTTGTCACCCAGGTTAAAGTGGAGGGGCATCATCATAGCTCAGTGAAACCTCAGACTCCTGGGCTCAAGCTGTCCTCCTGACTCAGCCTCCCGAGTTGGGACTACAGGTGTGAACCACCATGCCTGGCTAATTTTTTAAATTTTAATATTTTTTGGTAGAGAGACAAAGTCTCACTATGTTGCTCAGGCTTGAACCTCAAATTAAAAAAGAAGTACTTTGAGACTTAGAGAATAATTTCAAGAATAGTATGAATAATTACTGAGTATCCTTCTTGTAGATTCCCCAGATGTTACCATTTCTGCCGTATTTATTTTATCATTTTCTTTCTCCTTTCCACAAGTTTATCTCTCTGAAGTTTTTGAGAAGTTGCAGACAGGGTGCTTTTCTAGTTCTTCATTGTTTATTTTTTAACCAAGCACCTTCTTTTCCTTTTCATTTTTTGAGTCAGAGTATGACTTTATCACCCTCAGAATGATGTGGCATCATAGCTCATAGCAACCTCCAACTTCTGGGCTTAGGCAATTCTCTTGCCTCAGCCTCCTGAGCAACTGGGACTTCAGGCGTCCACCATAATGCCCAGCTATTCTTTTTTTTTTTTTTTGGTTGCAGTTTGGCTGGGGCCAGGTTTGAATGTGCCACTCTTGGTATATGGGACCAGCACCCTACCCACTGAGCCATAGGCACCGCCCAAGGACCTTCTTTAACCACAGTACAATTATCAAAACTCTGAAAGTTAACTCATTATCTAATCTACAGACCTTGTTTATATTTTCCCAATTATTTCAGTAATGTCCTTTGTAGCTAATTGAGTTTTTTTTTTTTTTTTTAAGATAGAATCTTGCTCTTTTGCCTGGGCTAGAGAGCCATGGCCTAAGCCTAACCCACCTCAACAATTTGGGTTTAAGCAATCTTCCTTCCTTAGACTTCTGAGTAACTGTGACAATAGGCCCATGCCACCACACCTAGCCAATTTGTCTGTGTTTAGTAGAGATAGGCTCTTCTTTTGCTTAGGGCTGGTCTTGAACCCTTAAGCTCAGGGGATCCTCCCACCTCAGCCTCCCAGAGTGGTAGGATTACAGGACTAAGCCACTTCATCTGGCTGCTAATTGAGTTATTGATTATACCTTGTATTCAAGTACAAATTTTCTTTAGTCTGTTTTTAAGGTGAAATTATTCATCAGTTTCATGACATTGACATACTTGAGGAATATAGGGCAGTTCTTTTGTCTCCCAATATGGATGTATTTGGTATTGCTTTGTGATTTAAATTGAGTTATGCATTTTGGGTAGACATATGATAGAAGTAATTATCTGTTCCTCATGGGTCATATCATGATGTATAGGATATAAGTTTGTCTTGTATACTAGTGATCAGTTTTTATAGTGATTAGTTTTTATTTTTGAGACAGAATCTCAAGCTGTTGCCTTGGGTAGAAGTGCTGTGGTGTCATAGCTCATAGCAGCCTCAAACTCTTGGGCTTAAGCGATTCTCTTGCCACAGCTTTCCAAGTGGCTGGG